GTAATTGGGCGGCCTGCAAAGGATGTCAAAGCGAGCGACGCTATCAAGCACATTGCCGGGTACGTGTGCGCGATAGATGTCACTGCTCGAAACTGGCAGTCTGAAGCGAAGAAACTTGGAAGGCCATGGGCAATCGCAAAAGGATGTGACACATTCCTTCCACTGTCCAACGTGCTACCGCCTGATTCTATTACGATAGATGGACAAGGTGTGGTTGATGTTAATCTGTATCTCGATGTAAACGGAGAGCGGCGGCAAGAAGGTTCTACGAAAGACATGATCTGGACAATTCCAGAACTTATTGAACACATATCAAGTCATGTAACGCTTGAAGAATGGGACCTCATTCTGACTGGCACACCGTCTGGTGTTGGCGAGTTTCGACCTGGAGACAAAATCAAAGCGGGAATCGAGGGTCTTGTAGAAATGGAGTTTGGCGCGGTGGCCAGATCTTGAATTCTGCTGATCTAGGAGTATATCCACAGAAGTCGTCTACATGAGAATATGCTGTTCTCTACATTGAACAGCACATGAAAGTCTTGAGAGTAAACCCCGGAAACAGCGATCTATTATATGCTGCCTACAGAAAACCGGTACACAGAATACATGCCTTGAACAGAAGCAACAAAACGACTTTATGGGTGACTAACGCAGTTTTGCAGTACGGACAACTCACTTGTATGCGCGATACAGCAACAAAGTCTACGTTCAAAAAGGGTTTGAGTTATTGAGTGTTAGCCTTGAGGAAGGAGATGAGATCGTGGCGATCCTTTTCCTTCTTCAAACCTGCGAAGACCATCTTGGTTCCCTTGATGTACTTCTTGGGGTTGAGTAAATAGTCGAACAAGGTCTCATCGCCCCAAATAATACCGGAGTTCTTGTTGGCGGCAGTGTAGGCGAATCCGTCGACAGTTCCGGCTGTGCGACCGAAGAGACCCCACAGATTGGGTCCCTGCTTGGTACCACCTCCCTTTTCATCTACGTTTAAAACAAAATGAAGTGGCCGAGTCGCAGGGTCGTTGTAACGCGTCGCAGCAAAGAAATGACAATGTCAGTATGTCGCTGTTGGCGTCTATGTGTGGGAAGAGTTCCTCTGATCGGGTTACGTTCCCGCTGAAGATATACAAAGGGTGCGATCCGCAATGCGTAACGCGATGTAGAGCGGACAACTTACATGTGTGGCACTGGGAGCATTTTGTCTTGAAGATTTTCGCACCCTTAGCAACGTTTCCGTCTGGAACGGCCATTTTACGATCTGCGGACGGAAGGGAGATTTGGACGAAGAGAGCACTAGATGTTTGCAAGAAGCTGTGAGGGGTTGTAGTCGACCTTCCGGACGGGATGCTCGTGCAAGCAAGTGTCGTTAAGGACTCTCCCCCACAGCTTGCGTGAAGGATGATTTGAGCAATTGCCCACGAATCGGAGCACCTGCCGTCGGGGCTGGGCAATGCATGACTTCTGCGCGCGTGATGCAATCCGTCGTGTTTGAACGGCTGCAATTCGCCAAAACGAGGTGCTTGGTCATTTCGCTTGCCACGCCCTCCAGTGAAACAATGCCAAGTGGATCCAGTACACGGGCACCTCTGCTCAATCTTGTTTCCCCCTGAAATAGTCACCGGCGGGCGGTTATATTCGTTGTCATTTTCACACCAATCACCTGCGGACAAGCGGCTTTGCATGGGCCCGTAAGAATGAAGCTCGCCATTTTGACTAGATAGGTAGATAGTAGACAACAAGAGTTGTGCTCGTTGACACCGAGAGCAGGAAGAGCAGTCTTTCTATTGCCGGCAACTCCACGGTTACCGGGTTCGAAACAGTTTCAAACGATTAGTTGTCACAAGTTCTAAGCCTGGGTTTAGAAACGTCAGGGGGAAAGGTCTAGTAGATTCAGTTGCAGCTGCACAATCAAAAACAGAAAACGAAACAAACGTCGCTGATGACTGCTAGCTAAACATGTATCTACCCTTCTACGACAGGCTGCAAATGTCTGCCTCCAGCGTTGCGACAGCACAAAGATACTGTAGATTCTTCGCAGTCCGCAAATGAAAGGCTGCTGGCACGGGGTGTAGGACAAACTCTTAAACAATCCCGTCTTTCTACGCTGAAATATTTATATCCTATGAAACGTGAACATTCCCATTTGCTCTTCTCCTGTCGCTCTCTATTGACAAAACCCCGCCCTTTATTGTACCCCGAGTGGAGCGAAACCGGATTCCGCACAAGTTTGCGGCCAAGAGGCAGTGGGTATACTCTGCACAGATTCTCCCGCGTCAAGCATTCTGATAACCCCAGCCGTTGTGCGTTTCGCGCCTCTTCAGCGGCCACTTCACCCCCAGCTACCATTTTACAAGCACACCGCAAGGTTCTGAGACAACAAAAGCATACCCAGCTAGTAACCATGCCAGACGATCATTTACACACAATGCCACCAGAGTCGATAGAGGGAACCCTCAAAGCAATTCTATTTGACTTGGATGGAACGTAAGTTACAAGCTCCAAAATTGTGCGAACTTATTGAAGGCCTCAAGTGCTGACAGACGGTAATTGTTCACTCTGTTGTCTTTGATGCCCTGTGGTATAGCTGTCTGAACAGCGATCATATCCATTATGAATGCTACCGAGATACGCTTTTGGAGCTTATTCCAAGTTTCAATGGAGGCAAGCCGATTACACGTGAGTTCTACGACTCGGAAATGTCAGGTCGCCAGAACCCAGAGCTCGTATCAAAAATCCTACCACAACTGCCACTACACGAACAAACTCGTTTATGGCAAACAAAAGAAAGTCGTTATGAAGATGTTATTTCAAAAGGAGTTTCACCTATTGCAGGACTAATCGAGCTCATCAAACGTTGCAAACAAGATGGTATTATAACCTATATTGTTACAAACGCACCCAAAGGCACGTGCGTGAAAACTGTGTCATCGATTGGAATCACCGAATACTTTGGGTCACATGTGGTTGTGGCTGAAGAATGTGAGTACCCGAAACCGCACCCAGCACCCTATCTTCGCGCCCTAGAGTTGGCTGGTGTGTCTGCAAAAGAGGCCATTGCATTCGAAGATTCGCCCAGCGGTACCAGGAGTGCAATTGGTGCGGGGTTGTTGACGATAGGTATGCGTTCTACACAGAGCGATGAAACTCTGCGTTCTTTCGGCGCCGCGTTCACGGTCCGTGATTACAATGACCCGAAACTGCTCAGTGCGCTATGCATGTGGACAAAAAAGTGAGTCAACTGAACATTTGTGAGCGCATATATGAAGCCGCCTCTTCCTGTAGTGCCCTCGTTTTCTCTTCCTCGTACTCCCTATCGTCAGTTGGAAGTTCCTTCCTGCACATAGGACAAGTGCAATGTTGCTTTAACCACGGAACAATACAGTCAGAATGAAATATATGACCGCAAGGCAACTGTCGTGCCTGCTCTTGTAGCTCGAATTGATCGGTGCAGATAGGGCAGGTTGGTAACTGCCCTGACCCATTTCTCTTGACGTTGATGTAAGGTAAATTTGCAATGACTTTCTTAGAGGCTGGCGGAGTACCAGATACTTCGGTTTCAGTATCAATCAAGTCCGCTTGGAGCGCATGAACGTGCTCCATCATTCTCTGCGGTTCAGCGCCCTCCGCAGAATGAAGAGTGGCTAAGGCTGATGCAAAGCGCAACAGGTTGGACTGGCGCGTAGCAGCCCTTTGCGACTCGCCCTCGCGGTCAATACCGTGCTCCTGGAAATACAGCTCCATGGTGCGTGAGTGCAGAGTATAACCAAGATTGCAGTCGATTGTTTGGCAGTGCAGACGGAGCGCGGGAACGTACTGAGGAGCGGTGCGTGGAATGACTTTTGTAGAGAGACCTTGGCTTGCCCGTGTACGCCTGTTATTAATGGACGCAGTGCATAGAGATTATTGGTGAGGATGAGCTGTGACAGCAAAAGGTGGAAGGGTTAGACCGGTAGATTGCTACCAGCTACTAGCAGCAGGCACCTAGCAATGTACCAGGGGTGGTAGTGTGCGGAGAGATTCCAGCAATCGAGGTTGGCCAATGATGGCAACGGACTATGTTGCCACATATTCACATGTATTCTACTAGAGGATGGATAAGGCGCACTGCAAGCATTTATTCATACAAAAAGAAAATCCGATTAGAAACAAATTCGTAAAACCGACACAAAAACGTTTTCAGGCCTCCCTCGATGGGGCGCTCAGCGAAGACAGGTATTGATGATTCTCAGCAACCCATGCAATGGTAGCAGTTGGAAACGCGTCAGTAGCAGGCAAGATCTCTTCCGCAAAGGCAGTGGCCGCCCAGAGAGGGCTAGCGAACAGCGCGTGAACCATGACAGCTGAAAGAGGCGCATAAAACACGTCGAGCACGTCGCCAATAAACGGAAACGAAAGACTTCCCGCGCCTGCGAGATCTATAGCGAGACAGATAGCAAGCTTTTGCCAGCGTTTTGCAGACTCCCCACCACTCTGCACGCTGTCCGCGACATGATCGGCAAGGGCGATAACCTGACGTAGCAACGCCAACAACGGGGGCGGCGTTTCGTCGGTGTCTGAGAGGTTTCGATTCCGGGATAGATGTTGCGTGGCGACTGAATTGGTGAAGAACGATGCTGCGGCAACCTCTACCGTTTTGATGAGCAAGTCACTTGTGAGGCTCATGCGAGTCACATGAACTGGTGAGCAGCGGCGCAGCGAAAGCGCGACGGGGCACCGAGCGAAAGTGAGTGGGATCGTGGTGGCAAAGGCTGTGGGAGTCATGGCAGCTCTGCGAAACTGAGTTTGCGTGAGCCGAAGACACGGCCCGCAGGGAAAAGGAAGGCGTTCATAACTGTGGAGGGAGGGCAGGAAGATAGGTTAGCGGCTGTCGAGGAATGATCCTTTTGCGTAACGTTCGGGTCATCGCTGTTGAAGTCGGGGCCTGTTCTGATGCTGCTGAGAGACAGGACGAGCCTTGGATCGAAACACGTTGACACGTTTCATAGGTCAAAACGAAAAGGAACAGTTCCTGCTGGGACTTGAACCCAGGCTTCAAGATTCAGAGTCTTGCGTGCTAACCAACTACACAACAGGAACTAGCAAGAGATCTGCGAATCTGATCTGCTTTGATATGATTGCCCACCTGTATATATTTGAGGTTTTCAGAATCTCCCTTCCTCACACAGTACATTCTTTCAGTAGAAAAATGTCTTCCTCCTCGGATAGTCTTGGTGAACGAGAGTGGTCATGCTGCGCAAATACAAACACTGAAGCGTTTAACAGGCAAACAGAGGCCCACCCGCGCAACACACAAGTCACGGCTCTGTCAGGAAGCGAGTCTTCTCGCCGACAAATCGACTTCGCCAAAACGGGACCCCCACCCTACGAATGGGCGCCGGAACATCGCGTTCAAAGTTGTTCAAATCATTCCTGAGCGCCACGACCGGTTCACTCATATCGACGCCATCGCGAAACATAACGAGGGACATTCGTGCCTGTTTTCCAGAGATGTGTTTCAACACCTGAGAGTTGAATTGCAGTTGTTCCGATTCTGAGAACAGCTGTTTGACACGCGGTACGAAAAACTGTTCGGACGCTTTGAAAAGTGTGCTTGCGTTTCGACGTAGTCTTTGTATTGCTGTGATTATGTTGTGAAGTTCGCTTTCACATTGGTGTGCATGCTCGTAATTGAATGTACTCCAGTTTGTTACGCGCGTTTCTAACGCATGTGCATGTTGTTCCAGTCGTTGTCTCTCCCGATGAACGACGTCTACATAATCGCGTCGCATTTCACGCGGTTCGCGGTCTGAAATCCACGGCAGGAACAAAGAGTGTTCCACATCATTATGCAGCGCCCAGTTATCGCGGACAATATATTGCACGGCATGCTTCATCTGACGGCGCAATGAGTCTGAATTGGGCGCATTCTGCGCGCTACAGAGACGGTTTCGTTTGCGAGTGGCGTTGTTTTCAAGACGTATGAGATCGCGAATGATGGAGAGATGGTGCCAGCGCCAACCGTGAACGCGGAAACGCGCCGACTGCGGGCTTGCCGCTTGTTGCGTTGAAGCGGCTTGTGAGCGACGAAGACGGTTTAGTTGGACGCGTGAGAACAGATCTTGGGTGGCGGATATGGCGTCAGGAAGCATGATGACGGCGGCGACCCGCAGGTGCTCCGGGAGAATCGGATTGGTGGAGCGCTCTCGACTGCTTGCGGCTATCAAGTAGGACGATAACTTGTAAAGTCAGGACTCATGAGAGCGCACGCCAGCAGGGGCAAAGAAATCCTCCACGTTCACCACGTGGAGCAATCCACGATCTGCGCTGATCACGATGCAAGGCTACTAGAGCTAGTGGAGCATGTCTTTCGCCATGGACGACTTGAGAATGGTACCGTTGTATGACAGAGAGGCGCGTCCACGTCCACCACACCGTTGAGCGAAGTTCTGCATGCACGCCGAGCGCAGTCGATTAGAGCACACGCAGAGCACCGGCCCGTCACAACTACCATTTTTCACCCATGGCGCCTCGCATTCGTACAGCAGCCGCCTTTGCTCATTCATTTCTCACCTTCCGTCACTCCATTCTCGCTTGTTCACCAGTTTCCAGCGCGTCGTCTTCCTTCCTCGTTCCAACCCGTCTTCCCCTGCGTTGCGCTCCGCCGTCTCGTGCCCTGTCCACTAGAATGGTTCTCGCCACCGCTAAAGATCGTCCGGGCGTGCTTGACACCGATGATCGTGGCAGTGTGCTCCTCTTTCCACGCGATGGTCGTATCGCTGTGGAAGGTGCTCCTGCCTTGGACGCCTATTCTGGCGACCTGCTCATACTTGCTCTATGGGCTCCTGAGGACGATGAAGCAGGCTTTGAATTGCCGCCTTCACTCAATTCACTTCCAACTGACGTCTTGTCCGTTTTGTCTGATCTCGTTGTCGAATCCGACTTCAAGGCCAAGTCGAGCTCTAGTACGGAAGTATTGCGCTTGATGGGGGGTAAGGTGAAGAGAATGGCTCTTTACGGCCTTGGCAAGAAGAGTAAAGCACCTTCTTCTGTTGCGGGCGCCGCGCGGTTTGCCGTTGAGAAGGCTTGCAAGATCAAAAATGTGGACTCTGTGGGGCTCTTCGTTGATGAGATCACTACCGAATGTGTTACTACCGCTGCTGAGGGAGCGGTTGTAGCTTCGTATGTCGACGTCAGGTATAAGAAGGAGAAGAAGGATTATGACAAGGTACCTTCCAAACTCGGTCTCGTTGGCGTTGTCAATAACCCTGATAACCAAAGTGCAATCGCAAGGGGAAAGGATATTGCAATGGGAGTTATCACTACTAAAGAGCTTGTCAACGCTCCGGCTAATGCACTTACACCGGCCACTTTGGCGGAGGCGGCTAGTCAGGTTGCCTCTGAAGCCGGTCTTGACATCACTGTCTTGGGACGTGCTGCTTGTGAGGAGAAGGGTATGGGATGTTACCTTGGAGTAGGTCGAGGTTCGGCAGATGAGCCCAAGTTTATTCATATGACGTATAAGCCTAGCGGTGAAGTCAAGAAAAAGCTTTGTATTGTTGGAAAGGCTGTTACTTTTGACACAGGTGGCACCAACCTGAAGGTGGGGAACAGTATGATTGAACTGATGAAGTTTGATATGGGTGGGGCTGCTGTTGCGATCGGAACTGCAAAGGTCATCGGTTCCCTCAAACCGGATAACGTGGAGGTGCATTTCATAATGCCTGCTGTGGAGAATATGATTGGGAATAATGCTATTCACCCTGGCGATATTCTGAAAGCTTCTAATGACAAAACTGTGGAGGTGATCAATACGGATGCTGAGGGACGTTTGTGTCTCGCTGATGCGATTGTGTACGCGCAGAATCTTGGCGATGTGGACTGCGTGGTGGACATCGCAACGTTGACGGGGGCGATCATTGTTGCGTTGGGAAATGATGTGGCGGGTATGTGGAGTTCTTCTGATAAGCTGGCTGAGAATATTTTGGAGAGTGGGAAGGCTGTTGGAGAACAGTGGTGGCGGATGCCGCTTGTGGATGAGTATAGTGAAGGGTTGAAGAGTAAGATTGCCGATTTGAGAAATATCTCAACGAATCGCGGAGGCAGTTCTATTACGGCGGCACTTTTCTTGAAGGAATTTGTTGAAACTGATAAGGTTGAATGGGCGCATTTGGATATTGCTGGAACTGTATGGAGTAAGGAGAAGGGCGGTGCTACTGGACATGGTGTGAAAACGATGGTACATTGGGTTGAGAATTCGGTGTAGTGCTCAAGGGTAAAACATGGGTTTGTTGTTAAAGAGAGAAGGTGATCCTTTTTGTTTCGTTTTGTTTTCTCAGTTTATGAAGATAAGATCGGTGTGGAAAGAAGTAGGCAGGTGAAGAACTAATGCGATGTGGCCAAGAAGGGGGCGCGGTGAGGCGCGGCATATGAGAGGAGACTAGGACGAATGACGTTTAGCTTGCTCTAGAAGGTTTTCCATGATGTCTTCTTCGGCACCCTCCGGGATGAAGGGGGGCTCATTATTGTCATCGCTGTCGGTTGTGTTCGGTAGCGGCGGAAGGTTTTGAGGGTCCGGTTGAGGTCTTAACGGATGCTTCTCGGGAAGACGGAGCGCTGGCATGGGCGGAAGGGGCTGGTGGGGAAGATGGGGTTTTGGAGAATGGGGAAGCGGACACGTCTTGCCCGAGACTGGCGGTGCCCTTGGCGGCAAGGCCGGAGACTTTGACGGGGAGTTGATAACGATTGTGTCGTGGTGCGTGGTTGTAGGGGATGACATCTTGAGGGTGAGCGGTAGTGAAAATGGGGGGGAAGAGAGAGGTACCGGTATACACAGGGGCGTGAACGCTGGGTTTGGCGGTTGGAGGTACAGGGTTACGATGTTAGAGTGGAGTTCGACCAAGGTAAAGGGTTAGCGGTCTGCTTCTACTGGCTTATGTATGTGGCAAAGATCTTAAGCGTGCGCGAGTGGTGTGTGCTTGCCGCTGGGCTTGTTTCGGGCGTTGCAGCTTGTTTACAGGTGCACGTTTGGGCGGACTCTTTTTGGGGGGGGAGGCGGAATGGAACTACACAGGTGCTATGACGGCCAATGGCGTTGCAGCGCGTTGCGTGCGAACGTCGTGCAGATACGGGCGCGCATTTTTTTTGGCAGCTGCACGGGGCATGAACGACGCATTGCGATTGCGACAGAGAAGCGCTGCGGAGCGACTGCTTTCGCATTGCGTTCTTTTGCGTTGGAAGGCGCGGAGTTGCTTCCAGTGCTGCTTGCGCTTGACAGCTTTGGCGGCTTTGGAAGCGCGTCGCTTGTTGAGGAAGACGTTGCGGTAGCAATCTTAAAAATCTCCAGCATTCTCTCTGCACGTGACCCACGTCATTACGGCGCGGTAGATACGAAGAAGGGCGCCGAATCAACACTCGCTTAAATTTTTGATGCTCCAGAAAACACCGCCTTTATTAATGGTGTGGAAACACCCTCCAACCACCCGCGCGTACCTATGGTGTAGTGGTCATCACGCCAGACTTTGAATCTGGAGATCGCGAGTTCAAACCTCGCTAGGTACTGTAGTTTTTGGCCCTAGTTCTTCTTTCATGTTCCTGCGCTGCGCAGTTCTATTTTCTACCAAGGGTAGACAATTGGGTCACACCGCTACCCTTGTCGCGAAGGGGGGTACGTCTGTCTGCAGTAGAGTAGCGGTTTTAGCCCCGTCCCCCCGCCGTGCTCACCGTTTTCTACAATGAGCGACACAGACTTGGTTAAGTACTCTACACATTTTGGCGACCATCCGCGATGAAGGTACCTATGGTGTAGTGGTCATCACGCCAGACTTTGAATCTGGAGATCGCGAGTTCAATCCTCGCTAGGTACTCACCTCCGACGAGCTTCACGACAACCAGGAACCCAGTCCGTCGACACCGCAACCAACTTCTTGTGCAACCCTTCTGTCTTTTTTACCAATCCAGTGGCGATCAATGCTACGGAAATTATCAACTACCAGCTTACAGCGTCGAGCATCGTGCTCTTTAGCAACAAACGTTCAGACATCATCTTCATCTACGATTTCTACAGCCTCAGCAGCTTCAACAGAGAACTGCGCCAGCTCCGCGACAAGAGATTCCTCAACATTATTTTCGCCACCACACCAATCTGCATCACCACTCTCACCAACCGCCGCTGCCCCACGTGCATCACCACACCCACCAAGCTGAAGCTGCGAGCGGTCAACCATAGGCGGCGCAAGTTCAAAGTGCACCTCCATACCAGGCGCAACAAACGAGAATCCCTGCCACATATTATCCGGCTGGCCCTGATTCTGGCTGCTACCCGCAATAGCCATTGGAGAACTCTGTCCCATCGAAATATTCAACGGAGAGTGTGGTGCCGAACACGTAGTCTTAGTCAAAGACGGTGAGAAACACGCCGTAGGCGACGATTGTGACGGAATGATCGGAGGTGTAGCACGCTTCGCACGAATTGCATCCCAGTCCACATCGCGGAACCAAGCATGGTTTCGAATCTGTTCGGGGTCGCACCACCTCTTAGAAACGTCCTTCGTAAGCAGTTTGCGAATCAAAGACTGGCACTCCGACGTCAAGTACTTTGGCAGTTTATACTTGCATCGCACAATACGTTCGTGAAGGCGCTTGCGACTGACTTTCCCCTTCTCATGAAGCGGTGAGAACGGCGGTTGACCGCATAGACAGTCATAAATGAAGATACCATACGCCCAGTAATCGGCCGCTTTGCCGCAGTGTGACTCGCGAGTGATGATTTCAGGTGCCATGTAGTCTTCAGAGCCGCACCATGAATGCGTCTGCTCACTGTCGCCGGTAAGCTCTTTCGCAAGTCCAAAGTCGGTGAGAATGAGATGTCCCTGGCCATCCAGTAGGACATTTTCCGGCTTGATATCTCTATGCACAATATCCATGTTGTGCAACGTCTCCAAGGCAATCAGAAGTTCGGCGGCATAAAACTTGGCCTGAGACTCGCTAAGCATTGCCTCGCGGCGTAAATGAAACATGAGTTCACCGCCAGAAGCAAAGTCCATGACCAAGTACACTCGCTTCGAGGTCTGGAACGCCACGTGCAGCTGCACGATGAAAGGGGTGTCATACTGTCCGAGCAAGGCGAGAACGTTACGCTCGGTGTGCGCGTCCCTTACAGCCCTGCGGTTGATAAGAACTTGCTTTTCCATAACCTTCATGGCATAAACGGTGGCGGTGGCTTTGTGACGAACCATGAATACCTTTCCAAAGCCACCCTTGCCAATGAGGCACATGATGTGAAAGGCATCTAGACGACTGCGGCCGAGGGATAGAGGACTTCCCAAGGGTTGGAAAGCGAGCAACGGCGGGGTGGAGGGGGGTGGGGAAGAAGCTGGAGTTACAAAGTCATTTGGGTTGTTTGTGAAATCGTTAATTGTTAGGTCAGAACCTAGCGGAGGGAAAAGCTCCAGATGCATGTTGGGCGGCAGAGGAAAAACAGCCAAACCACAATAGGAAAGAGGGCAGAAAACGCGGGTAGAAGGCACTCAAAAGTTAGGGAACGACAGAGCGTAGGTACAAGTGGGCGAAGTTAAAACGGTGGACAAAAGCAGCAACCAGAAAGCAACTCGGAGAGACAACTTGGGAACTACGGCGTGACTACGGCGACAAAAACCATCATCATGTACTCGAAATCTCCAGTTTGAAAAGGGCGCACCAAGAAGAGCGGGGAAGGCGGTGAGAGAGCGGACGGATTTGGCAGTTGCTACGCTTGGGGCGGAAGCGAGGGGCGTGGGTGGGGAGAGGGGGTGGGGCACTACCTTTAAAACGGCGGTGCACTCGCGCATAGGCGCATGCGAATGTGCAGCGATGGCGCGCCGGCGCACGGTAACGCGCGCGTGTACTGTAGCGAGCAGCGCGCCGTGCGCGTGACGTGACGCGGCCAGAGGCGGCGGCACCAAGATTCCACCGCGGGCAATCCTGCCGAAAAATATGCGAATTTCAGGGCGGGGCCAGTGGGCGGCGGTGGCGACGATTCTGTGGTGCCACTTGGCGCGCGTGATCGCGTGAGGTTCGTCGGAGGGGAACGCCTATTGGTCGACGGTTTGAGGGTTTGAAATGAAGCTGGGTGCTCCAATGACATATACACGTGGCGCAAATGACATGCAAAACTTGCAGCGCACAGCAATGACTTGTGCGCTTGTCATCCGCTTCGAGAGCGCCGCAGAACGGTGCCAGTTCATTCGTGGCCGCTTTTTCAAGCGCGTGCGCAACAAAGCCTTTCTCGTCGAGCTTTCAGCATGCTGCGTTCTGAATGTGTCTTCTCTCCCTCCCTCGCGCGCACACAACGTATCCACTGCTAACAGAGCATGGGGTACGAACCATTTATGCATACGTGCACATCTCGGTACTGCTGCCAATCAATTGCCCCTTGGTTTCCAGAGCTTTCAGCAGGCTGATCACCATTAGAGAGCCACACTTACGTCTTCGAATAGCTTCCGTTTAGTCTTCACAGCCAAATTTCTTCGTTCAGGCTTCGCGTCGGCGTCGAGATGGAATTATATGAGTGTGTCCTGTTTCCCCAGCGTATGCCCGCGCTTGTGCCCGGCTCGGGACGGCGGCTGTGCCCCGCATATGCGAGAAACACCGTAAGACTATGCACAAACTGGGGAGAAATCCGCTAGTAGCCCGTCCACAGATGCAGAACATATACCCTTGCAACCCTTCAGAGCACATTCTTCAAGCTATATACGGGTATGCAGGCTTCAGGGGATAATGTTTGGAACACATGCTTTGATTTGAGCATGTCGGGGAGAGAGCATCAACATGTTGAGCTCGAGACAAAAGCAGTCAACGTGCACCTTGCGAAAGCTGAAGGTTTGCTTGGTACCAAATTCCCTTTATGAGGCACTAAGATTGACACCAGTGCCTATTCTTCCAAACTCCCGATTTCACTTTTTTTGGTACGCGCTTGGACACTTGTCGAACGTGGACGCAACAGCAATGTTCTAGAAGACATTGGTGCTTCCAACACTTATAGTATTGTACACCTGTACACGTGAAACGATGCCATTGGTTGAAACTGGAACAGCCGCACTTGTGATGCAAGCTTCATGTACGGAAAATGGCAGTCCCGGAGGTGTGCGTTCCTTTCTTGGCACCGCTTTCCCACTCAGTGGTCGTTTCCAAGCGTTTTGCTTCTTTTCTGGACGCCATTTTCGGATACCTCGCAACTTCTGCACATGGATAAGTTCTCCCTACCCTTCGCTGCAGCATTCTGAAGTCGTGCTGGTCCACCTCCTCCGCCATCTTCGTACCACAACCAGAACCTTCTTTACCCTCTCAACCAACGCTTTTGACGTTCAGATCCTTCTTCTGTTCAGTTCACAACTGTTCCTCCTCTCTATTCATTTCAACTGAAACCACTTCTTTCTCTCACCCTCACTCTACCAACCATGCCCCATCGTCACCGTCGTCCGCACGACGTCTATGACGACACGCAGTATGCTCCACTCTCAAACGATGAAATTACCGTGCATCACTATCCATCTTCTTCCCACGAGCGTCAATGGCATCACAACCACCAACAACAGCAGTATCCGTACCATGACAACCAACTGGTGCAGCCAATCGAGCCCTTCGACAACATGGGCCGCACCATAGCACGTATGGAACGAGAGATGATGCGTGCGTTTGAAGCCCCGTTTGGCGGCGGTGTCTTCGATCAGATTGGAAATGTGATGTCCTCGTTTGACCGCATGTTCGATAATATGAACAACCCCGCGTCCGCACCACCTGGTAGCACCTACTACTACGAATCTAGTACCACTACCGTGGGACCGGATGGTCAGGTGCACCAGGAAACTGTACGCACTAGGCCGGGAGCCGACGGCAATCCAGAAACCACTCGCTACGTTAGAGATGGCGATCAAGTGCGTCGCGCTCATCCGCAGGACAGAATCGAGAGCTCCCCGCATAATCCAATCAACGACGACGTAATCATCGAAGAGGTCGATGACGACGACGATCTTGCACCCTCCTCAGAGAGACGTGGCGACCAACGCCATCACAATCGAGATAACCTCAATCGTCGCAATAGTGCTGGAGGTTGGATAAGGGATAGGTTTAACAACTGGATGTCACATAACTAGCTCACACTACGTGTAGCAGAATTGTATATTCACCAAGTATCTTCATCGCGCAGCAAATGGGCTTCTCACTAGCATCACTTTTTATGAGGACTCAAGTCCAACAAGCACCCCTCCCGCATATGTGTTTCTTAGCACCATGATGTAGTTGTTTGGTTTTGCTGATGAACATCTCCTGCATCCTTACCCATAATGCTTACTTCTCATCGACGTTGCCTTCTGTCTTTTCCTTCTCTTTTCTGCGCTTTACGATGTGTTCCAAATCTTGAGCAGCACTAAACTTTTCCTCTCGTCTTCGTACTTCTAATCGTTTTGCAGTCTCGTAGAAAGTTTCGTCTCCAACCCGAACGTAAATCATGAACAGTTCCATGGCTGCCCCAAGGACGAACGCGACGGGCACTACTCTGATTAGTGTTCCGCGTAATGAAACTC